AGCCTGGGCTACCAAGTGAGTCCCAGGAAAGGCGCAAAGCTACGCAGAGAAACCCTGTCTCGAAAAACCAAAAAAAAAAAAAAAAAAATGTGATCACTACTGGGTGGTGGTGGCACACACCTTTAATCTCAGTACTGGGAAAGGAGAGACAGGAGGATCTCTGTGAGTTCGAGGCCAGCCTGGTCTACAGAGTGAGTTCCAGGACAGCCAGAGCTACACAGAGAAAGCCTGTCTGGAAAAAAAAAAAACAACCAACAAACATGGGATCACATCTTACTGCAGATGGATAGGATCATATCAAAGGGCAGTAAGCTGGGGGCACGAGGGTGACTGCCTGATTAGTCGTGTCCTTTCCCTGGCTTTTCCAGTTGTGCAGGTCACAGATGTTGTCCTGTATTCACTAGACAAGTACACGAAGACTGTGTTCATTCAGGAGTTCACGTGAGCTGCTGCTGGGGCTGGGGAGAAAGTCATGGGGGGGGAGTGAGTGAGGTGATGGGAAGAAGGCCAAGAGGCAGAGACGGGGCTTTTGGAAAAGAAGGAACAGCAGGGAGAATCTAGAAATGAGGAATGTCACAGGGAGGGCTGAACTCTCAGGAGCACTGTCGGTGGGGCTATGCTTCCCAGGAAGACCACTGCAATGCTAGGACAGAGACTTCCCGTTCATAGATATACCGCTTCTCTTTAGATTTCCCACCGGCTCTTGAGACTCTACAAGATACTCTTGGGAGTAAAGGTCTACTTAGTTGACAAGCCTAGCCTATGTTACTCTCTTGTTCTCTTTCAAAGGGAGACAGTAGCTGCTAACTCCAGCTTCTCCCAGACCTTTGCAGTAACCCCACTCCTGGCCACCACCCACCAGAAACAGGGCCTGGCACTGGATGGCCAACTCAAGCATGAAGCCACCAATCTGGCCTCTAGCACAATGTAAGCTTATAGGTAATTTGCAACCTCTATTTCCTACCCTTAGCCCGTCCTACATGCTATTACGCATGGCTCTAAGGTTTCATCTTCAGTTGAGCCTATTTGTCTTTTAAAATGCCCTTCAGCCCACTCACAGACCTCAGAGCCAGCCTCAAGCTAAATGAATACCTATGGGACCCATAGTAAGCTTAGGTCTTAGGTAATGAGAAAAGAAAATGCAGAGAACAGAAAATCCTTGTTATGTAAGATTTTACAGCCCAAACCAGTCACAGGGGTGCATGCTTATAATCCTAGCACACGTAGTGGTCAGCACGGAGGCAGGAGAACCACAAGTTTGAGGCCTGCCTAGGCTCTATAGCAAGATCCTGTCACAAACACGATACAGACAGGGCTGGTGTGATGCCTCAACAAGTAGAGGCACCTGCTGCTAAGCTGATGCCTGAGCTCAACCCCCAGGACCCACATGGCGATGGAGAGAATCAATTCTTGTTGTCCTCTGACCTCCACATGTTTACCATGGCACCTGCACCCCTACATCCACCCAAGGGCACAAAATGGATAAATACAAACGTAATAATAATAAAAAATGAAAAACAAGACGCACTTCACAAAAAGCTTTACATCTATACTATCTTCCTAAGAATGCTATTTACGTACACTGGCCAGGTGGTTGGGTTTGCGGTTGTTTCTGAGGTGCAGAGGATGAACTCAGGGCCTTCCATTCCTAACTTTGGCCAGGTACGTTATTCCATTTACACATAACTCTGAGGCCTCAAGACAAGGGGCTTGTTCAAGGTTGAATAATTAGGAGGCAAACAGGATTCTATTATGTCATCTGACTCTGACCACGTGATCACTACAATAGTTACTATCTAGAGAAGAGAGAATAGAGTGGAGTGTTAGGAGATGAGAAATGGTGCAAAAGGAGGATATAAAATGAGAATTATATGACAAGAATTGATAGGACTCTTTGATGCCATTCATTTGGTTCTATGCCTTCGGATTAGCATTAGATGTGTTTCTTACCAAAGCCATTTGTCTACCATCTACAATCATAAATGCTCAATTCTCCCCACGCCTTATCAAGCAACTATCTACAGGTTGTTATTTGTAGAAACAGCCTTAGAAATTATCCAAAGAGCATTATTTTGTAGAGAGATCAGCAACCCCAAAGCAACCAAAAGACTACCCCCAAATCCTTACAGCTTTTGGTATCTTATTTTTCAATCATCAGGTTTTTATTGAGCACTTATTAAATGCTCATTCCTATGCAATACAATCAGGATATACAAAGAAACTTAAGACAATCTTTGCTTTCAGTCAATATATGGCCCAGATGAGGAACACAGAGGAATGCAAATATAATAGTTAAGTGTTAGTTGCATGTGGTTCATATATGAGTCCAATAGAAGTGAAAAGCCAACGCAGCTCACAAGGGATTCTTAGAGGAGCTAGAATGAGCTAGAGGAGATAGATTTTACAAAACATTCTTCAATGATGATGATGATGATGATAGAAGGAGGAGGAGGAGGAGGAGGAGGAGGAGGAGGAGAAGAAGAAGAAGAAGAAGAAGAAGAAGAAGAAGAAGAAGAAGAAGAAGAAGAAGAAGAAGAAGAAGAAGAAGAAGAAAGGAACAATCCAGACTGGAAACATGGCATGAAAAGAAGCTAGAAGATAGGAATCCCACGTGACATTTTGAGGAGCACAAAAGGAAGTCAGGTCTGCCTAGGCTAGGTTCCAGGTGTTTAGGAGTTAGGGCAGAAAAGAGAGAAGTAGATGAGGCAAGATTGCTTTGGCTCCTGAAAATCAAGCCGAGTAGTTCTATTCAATAAGAAAAGAGGCCCTCGAATAGACAGTAACACAGTCGAATGGAATTTTAGGAAGGAAAATGTCATCCCAACTGGGCAGAAGCAATTACAGCCTGGGATAGCTTTTGGGAAAAGACAAAGGCAATGGGGCATGATAATAGGAAACACAGGAAGGATCTGAGGGAGCTAAATTCACTTATATTCCTACCTCCCCAAATTGGCACTACAATGTCAAGTCTTCGACCTGGGATGAACAAGGAGCTTCTGGGGATCCTGGTGTCCTACAAAGTTAGAGTCAACCTGATGCTGTCCTATGGGGGGTAAGTGGAGGCTTCCAGTTGGTTTGGGCAGGGGCTGGGAGCCAGGGCTTTCTCACGTGTTTTCCTCTCTTTTGGACTGACCCATTCAAGGTTAGTCTTTTTCCAGACTAAGTTCAGAAACCCGTGAACTCAACGAGTCACTCCCCCGCTAAAGGTCCACTCTGTTACTAAATCGGCTTTATGATCCCTCATCCCCAGCAAAACTAGGCTGACTCCTCCTCTACTAATGTGCCATTTTATTCACAGCATCCTCCGAGGTCTTCCAGCCAGGTGAGAAGCTATGGAGACAGGACTGAGGCAAGATGGGGAGGAAGAGGGCATAAGGAGACCAAAAGAGTCCTCAGAAGCATGAGGGCCTCCCAGAACTGGAAAAAGCGAAGGAAGGTCAGTGAGTGAGCCCTTTCAGGACATCAGTAACTCCACCTTGGGCTACTTGCAGTGATGTTGGTGTGGAGCTGCCCCTGATCTTGACCCATCCAAAGCCATCTCATGGTGAGAGACCAGGTGAGGCTCCCAGGAACAATCACCCTGAGGGTTGGGGACCAAGCAGTTCTTGGAAAAGAGTGGCTTGAGGTGGAATGACAATAGGCAGATAGGATTTCAAGGTTCTCAGGGGACATACAGGGGAGGGGGAGGCCCCCCCAAAAAAGGAGGGAGAAGAGCAAAGAGATTTCTTCATGGAACTGCAGAGCCACTTAGGCGCTTCAGTTCCATTTTCCATCCCTCTCCACGCTTGCCACAGTGGCTACCAGGTAAGTCAGGACGAGGCTTGGAAGCCCCACCCCACCCCCTTGCCTACTGCTGTTTTGTTATGGAATTTTAAAGCTTCCTCAAAGTGGTGTTTTCAAGACTGAACCGGAAGCGTGGTTTAGCTTCACGTCACAGTCTGGTGCTTTCTATAGCCCTCCTTCTCCTGTCTCCTGCTGCTTTTCTTGGAATTGTTCTTCCCCCTCATCCCTTTCATGTTTCTTCTTTCCTTCCCTCCCCAAGCCCATTCTGTTGTTAAGGTGTCCTTATGACCCCTGACCCCTTGGCAAAACTGACTTGGTTGCCCCTTCTTTATTTTAAGCTACTGATTTGGGGTCCATTCTATCCACAGCATCTTTGTCTTTTTTTGTTTGTTTGTTTTTTGAGACAGGGTTTCTCTGTGTAGTTTTGGTGCCTGTCCCAGATCTCGCTCTGTAGACCTAGACCAAGCTGGCCTCGAACTCACAGAGATCCGCCTGCCTTTTCCTCCCAAGTGCTGGGATTTGCACCACCTCTGTCTGGCTTTGTCTTCTTTTTAATCCTTCCCTCTACCTGACCCTTCTAACACTCCTGGGGCACCACTGTCTAGGCAGATTCAGAAGGGAAACACGCCCTTCACATGGGGTGTGGAGGGGAAGGCTGGGAAGCAGGAAAGGGGGTGCCTCTTCAGAATCAAGAATGTGGAGAAAGCCCAGGAAGGGTTTGCTAACCTCCATTCCGCTCTGCTGCTTCTGCAAGCTCGGAGGACATAGTCATCGAGGAGTTGATGCAGCAGGCCAGCCAGGCCCAGGGCTAGACAGCTCCAGCAGCAAACGGAGCTACGAGAAGCCAATAGCCTCTCTCGGATAATCCTGTGTGCAAGTCTTCACGGCAACACTCGAATAAATTGCTTTGTCCAGACATGGCGGGTGATCGTTGTGCTATTTCCTTCTTCTTGGAGATTAGTGGAACTACAGAGAATGATTTGTCTGCTTCAGGCACCAGTACCCCTTCCCCGCGACCCTTATTCACAAGCCTGATTACATTACCTGTACTAAGTACCTTGGCCCTATGAGGTCCCAGACTTTCCTCTGACACGTCACTTGCCTTTTCTCTCTGGCTTCGGCTACCCTGGCCCCCACTCGATCACTTATTCTTGTGATCAGCTTTTGGCCTAGCAGTACCTGGTACTTACACGGTAAGGAACCCCAGAGGAAGCCAAGGGGGAATGGCCACTCCCAGGCCTGGCTATGAGGCCAGCCGTTACCAGCTGCCACCAGAGAGGAGCATGAGGTGACACCAGGTGGTACAGACTCAAGCGCAGAAAACCATTGCTACACCATCTCTGCCTGCCCACTCAAGGAATGTTTTCGGTCCTTCTAAGGTGAGGCCAAGAGCCCGAGAATGAGGCCAGAAGCTGTGGCCTAGAGAGCAATAGGAAACACAAATAGCCATCTCTATGCAAAGCCAGGCTCCTATTTCTGGTCTGGGAGGGGCTTTGAGATAAGAAGCTATGAATGCTATGGAATGGATTGGAGAAGCTACTTCTAGAGTGAGTCCCTCTTGCTGGCATGAGTTGGCAGGGGAGGGGGTTTTCAGAGACTCTGAAGAAAGGGCAATGGTTGGCCTTTCAAAGGGACAAGTACTAGATGTGTGGGCAGAAAGAGGTGATATGTCATGAATGTGGTGTGTAAGTAACATGGCTGATCGGAACAACAGATGGCAAGGTTTGTTGGTCTGAACACCTAAGGTCCATTCCTCACATGGAGGGTCTACTGTGCTGTTTACGTGAGGGAGCAGAAATCAGTGCTGGATCAGAGAAGTCACTGGTTCAAGGCCTCTAGTGTTTTGCATCACTGTATGTAAGAAGGATATTTAAGCTCACTAACTACAGGTTTCCACTGTCTTGCCCCTTTACTGTCTTCCTTTGGCTAGGCAAGTCTCTGCAGAAGAGGGTGAAGACTCATCTGGGGACCTCAATGTGATGTTTATTGAGACCAGTGCCAAAAAGAGCTGCAGTGTAAAAAACAGGACACCCATTTCTCTTTACAACACATCCTCTGCACTGTCTCTACTCACCCACCACCGCTGACTTTTAGATAACCCTACATTTCCCCATGATAGCAAGGAGGCAAGGTTCATTCCCCATCCCAGCCTGAAAGCACCGAACCTCTAAAACAGTCTCCTCGCGCTGTCGGTAGACTAAGCCAGCTCTTCTGGTCCAGTTTCTGCCCTTTCTTCCATAAATGGCTTCACCTCCACTGCTGGGAAAAGGGCACATCTTTCTTTCTTAGCTTTTCTGGGGGTAGGGAGTGTGAAAGCAGAGAAGCAAGTTTCCCTCAGTGGTAAGAGCCAGGACAATTTTTCTGCTTAAGTGGTACTGGAAAACAGAACTAACCTTAGCCAAAGCTGGCTCTTTTGTTTGACTTTAAGTGAAGACCACATGGTCAGAATTCCTCATTTCTTTTTTTCTGTTTGGTTTTTCGAGACAGGGTTTCTCTGTGTAGCTTTGGAGCCTGTCCTGGAACTTGCTCTGTAGACCAGGCTGGCCTCGAACTCACAGAGATCTGCCTGCCTCTGCCTCCTGAGTGCTAGGATTAAAGGCGTGCACCACAACTGCCCGGCTGCAGTTTGTTTTTTGAGACAGGGTCTGTCAGTGGCTCTCAACCTGTAGGTTGCGACCTCTTGGAAGGGATTGAATGACCCTTTCACAGGGGTCACCTAAGACCATGGGAAAACGCAGATATTTACATTACAATTCATAACAGTAGCAAAATAAGTTATGAAGTAGCAACGGAAATGATGCTATGATTGGGAGTCACCACAGCATGAGAAGTCACCACAGCATGAGAAAATGTATTAAACGGTCAAAATAAGCATTAGGAAGGTTGAAAACCATTGTTCTATGTAGTCCTGGCTGTCCTGGAGCTGGCTAAGTAGACTAGTTTGGCTTAGAACTCACAGAGATCTTCCTGCCTCTGCCTCCTAAGTGTTGGGATCAAAGGCCTGGCCTGATTTTTTTTTTATGGTTTTAATATTCTCTCCCAACTCCTGTAGTTAAGAATAAACAGCTCCCGGAAGCTGTCAGTTTCTTTTACTACATCGCACAGCTACTGGGTGATACAGAGCACCCTAGCATCTTCATTGATGACTAAAAGACATCTATACAGGATGCAGTTCTTTTTTTTTTTTTTTTTTTTTTTTTTTTTTTTTTTTTTTTTTTTTAACCAGGATGCAGTTCTAAAGCAGCCAGGGTAACTTCAAAGGCCAGGACATTTTTTATTCGGGTTTCACTAAACTTTGTGCATGTATGATGCTTAAAAACATACCTGGTACAAAAGAAAGCATCTTCACCAAATGGTGCTGTGAAAACTGATTGTCTACATGCAGAAGGATGAAATTAGACCCACATCTATCACCTTGCAAAAAAACTAGCTCCAAAGGGATCCAAGAGCTATACATGAAACAGTATACTACATGATATAGGTTTAGGAAAGGCCTTCCCAATAAGACTCCATCTACTCAAGATTCAAGGCTAACAACTCTCAAGTGGAACGTCGTAAAACTAAAAAGCTTTCGTACAGTTAAAAAACAATCAACTGAGTGAAGAGGAATCCCACAGAATGGGAGAGAATCGTGCGTAGCTATACATCTGACAGAGAATTAATACCCAGAATATATGAAGAACTCAAAAAAACAAACAACAACAAAAATAACAAAACAATCAACTGAAACGAAAACAATACAAATGACCCAGTTAAAAAAAATGGGTCTGGGACCTGGAGAAAAGAATGCTCAAAAGAAAAAAATATGGCTAAGAAACATCTCACAAATGTTCATTGTCCCTGACAATTAGGGAAATGCAAATGAAAACAACTTTTGAGATTTCACCTTACCCCAGTCAGAATGGCAAAGATCAACAAAAGAACCTACAGCACATGCTGGAGGGGATTGGGGGGGGGGCACGACTCCCATTCATTGTTGGTGAAATGGCACACTGATGCAGCACTCTGGAAATCAGCAGAGAGAATTCTCAAAAGGCTAAAAATAAACCAACCACAGGACCCAGCTACAGCACTTGACATCTTACTCTGAAGGTACTTGCTCGGCCATGTTCACTGTTGCTCTATTCACAATAGCTAGGAAATGGGAACAGCCTGAATGATGATGACCTGAATGGATAATGAAACATATACACTATGGAGTATTATGCAGCTGTAAAAAAATAAAATAAAATCATCAACTTTCCAGGTAAATGGGTGGAACTAGAAAAGATCATATTGAGTGAAGTAACCATTGTAACAATAGCAATCAATGAAAGAAAATTAATCAAAGACTATATAAGAGGCCAAGAATTTGAAAAAAAATCAAGGAAGGATATATGGGAAGGTTTAAAAGGAGTAAAAAAGGGGAGCAAATGATGTAATTATATTATATCAAAAAATAAAGAATTTTGAAAAATTATGTGTGCACCTGCTCGTCTGTCTGTGCACCACATCCATACCCGGTGGCTGAAGAGGGCAGAGAGAGTATTGGATTCTCTGGAAGGGCAGTTACTGATGGTTTGGAGCCACCATGTAGGTGTTAGGAATTGAACCTGGGTCCTGTGGACGAGCCACTAATGCTTGCAACCGATGAGGCATCTCTCCAGCCACGATGGCTGGAACTTTTGAGCACTCTTCTCCGGTAAGTTGCCTTTTGCATTTATTATTTACTTACTGTGTGTGCACATATGTGCCATGGCATACATGTGGAGGTGAGAGGATAACCTGCAAAAATCTGTTCTATCATGGGGATCATGGGGATCAAACTCAGGCCATTCACCTGCTAAGCCACTTCACTGGCCCAGATGGTTGTAAAACCCATGAGCTGGGTGTTGCTGGGTCTCCTCTCCCAGGTTCCCAGCTGCAAGGCCCCTGTATGATAAATGATGTTTAACCTCAAACCCAACTCAGTGTCACTCTACTGGGCCTTGAAGAATATTATTTAAAACAATAACCACATTAGTAAAGTTAAAATAATGAACTCCTGCGAACCTCATCCTAAAGCAATGCTTCTCAACCTTCCTGATGCTGTGACCCTTTAACACAGTTCCTCATGCTGTGCTGACCCCCAACCAGAAAATCATTTCCGTTGCTACTTCCTAACTGTAATTGTTACTCTTATGAACTGTAACGCAAATATCTATGTTTTCTGATGGTCTTAGGTGACCCCTGTGAAAGGCTCGTTCGACCCGTAAAGGGGTTGCCACCCACAGATTGAGACCAGCTGTCCTAGAGCAAGACCTTTACAAGAAACTTCGATGGGCTTCCCCTCGCTCATCATACAAATCTCGAAGGTCTTGTGCAGATAGCCACCGCTGCGGTGTGTTCGGTGTGTTCATGACGCCAAGGCTATGTCATATCCACAAGGCAGAAGAGAGCCCTCCCATCTATCCTCTGGCTCTGACACATTTCCACGCCACTCCCCCTTTCTGCAATGTTCTCTGCACCTTAGATGAGATGTAAAGCTTGAGTGCCGAATTAACAAACCAATGGTGAGGAAAAAGACCTCCACGGGAGGCTATACCGATGTTTCAGTCAGTAAAGTCCTTGTTGAACAAACATGAGGACCTGAGTTTGAATCCCATAGTGCACTTAAAAACGCTGAATGTCTGTCATGTTGGCGCATACCTTTCATCCCAGCCGAGGCAAGTGCCAAGAGAGCCAGAGCTACATAATAGCGAGACCCTGTCTCAAAACAAGGTATCCTGGATGTGGTTGCACATACCTGTGATCCCAGCACTGGGGAGGCAGAGAGAGGAGGCCAAACAGACCAGCTACAGAGACTCAGGTTCAGTGAGAGACACTGTCTCCAAAAATAAGGTGGGTCGTGATTAAGGAAAGAGAGTTGATTCAGACCTTCACACACACATGCGCAAACA